TTCAATAAATTTATCTGGCAAGTGTTATAACATACAAGTGTTTCTGTGTTCAATTAATTATCTGACAAGGGTTATAACATACAAGTGTTTTCTATGTTCAAATCTGACAATTGTTATTTGCTTCCTTCAACTGTGTTGCAAATATACAAGTGTGGCATGTACACCTGTTTTCATTGCCTTTTTTTTTCTTTGGTTATAATGTTCTTTGCTTCAATTGTCTTCGAAATACAATGTGGCTTGTACACCTTTTGTTACTTCTTTTCTTTTATTTTTTATGTATAAGTATTATTTCATTTCAGCTGAAACATAAAATTGGTCTCTTGTACATATATATGTTGGCCTTATTATGATTGCCATTTTGTTACTTTGCAAATTTATATATGCCCTGTACTACTTGTTTCATGGGGAATATTTGTATCAAGGAATGTTGGTGTTCTTGTAGTGCTATTCCCATTTTTTAAAAAATTTTCTTTGTTTTATGACGTCCACAGGCAAATCCGAGTTATCATGACATGGAGGGCAAAGTATGTGTGCACTACGAAGCGTTGACGACTATTTTTCATGGGACGACTGCTACGGGGTCGAATGCAAGGGCATCGACTCAACGTGTGCCCGAGGGACATCGTGAGCCATCTGGAAATTTCAGCCCCGATGTTTTTACGCAGCAAGATGACGAACCAATGGAGACCCCGACATCTCATCGACGGCATGCTGGGCAGAATCGGTCCGTTCATTGAAGGAGAAGCACGGAGTCTAGTTTCGACACCGCCATGTACTCGTGGTCTGACTTGAATGTGTCGCTGAAAGAAAGAAACAACAAACCCGTGAAGCTAACAACGATGGAACAGACAATGCGCGACCTCCAAGCTATGCCGATTATGGACGAAGATCTTCCAGTTTGTTTGCAATAAGCTTCGGGATCCCACGAATCGAGCCATGTTTGCGGCGATAACTAGTGACGAGAGGCGTCAACATATTATTAATATGTGGATTAATGAGGGGCCCGATTCACAGTGAAGGGGGATGTGGATTGGTGGATTGGTTTTTAACTATTGTTTTTATTTCTAGTTGGACTTGACTGTTTTCTATATTTGTCTTCAACTCTACTATGTTTGAACTTTGTTTCCTTGCTACTCTGTTTTATTTTTTTTCTGCATGATTAATGTGAGATTTTGTTTGTGAACATTTGTATATGTGTTTTAGCCACTATTATATTTATTTGTAGGATGTCTTACGTAGATGATAGTGACACATATGAAGAGGAGATCGATGATTTGCCTGAGGACATTGACAGCGAATTCGAGACAGTGGAAGACTACGACTCGTTGAAAACTTCGTTAATGATGGGGGCTCAATTTCAAAAACTTGTAAACATTTACGAAAGTTCGTCGTCCGCATTTCTCCCATTAAGAAGAATCCCCTACCGAGAATTCACGTACTCAGGTTTGGACTGGGTAAATGAATTGTTAGCTGGAAATCCTCGCCGATTTAAAGATGCAATGGGCATAAATCAATGTCATTTCAGCATACTTTGTGACGAAATCAAAAGGGCCGGATTCCACCTAAAAGGAAGACAAACAAAAATAGGCATTGAAGAAAGCGTAGCCATTTTTCTGCATACTATAAAAGGGCATCAAAGGCAACGATTTGCGGCTGAAATATTTAGAAAATCGGGGGAGACAATCAGTCGTCATTGTCACAAAGTCATCAATGCGCTTTGTTATCTCGCCCCCGACTACATTCGTCCCCCAGACTTCAAATGTGTTGCACCGTGGATAAGAAATAACCCGAATTTATATCCCTACTTCAAGGTAATTTCAACACTTTTTTATTTTTCTTTAATGTCTCGTACACCGTTAATTTGAGCAAAAGTACATGTATTGTTGAAATTCTATTTGCTATTCGTAGGACTGCATTGGCGCAATTGACGGGACTATTATACCTGTGTGGGTGCCAGAAGGACAACATGGTTCCTACAAATGTGGAAAGGTTATTTAGCGCAAAATTTGATGTTGGCGTGCGATTTTGACCTCAAGTTCATTTTTGTTCTAGCGGGTTGGGAAGGCAGCGCAAATGATGCACGCATTTTTAATCAGACATTGTCGGACCCCAGATATAATTTCCCCTATCCACCACTGGGTAAATTGACCATGACACTATTAAAATGTTATACTGTAGTTAAAGTAAATACAAGTAGAAATTATGCTAAGTACATTTCTTTAAGTACAAAAGTTATGTTCATGCAGGTAAATTCTACGTGGTGGACTCCGGATATGCACGCATTCCGCGTTTCATGACACCATATCTTGGTGAAAGATATCATCTTCCGGAGTGGTTGGGGTCTAACCAATTGCCCGACAATGCTCGTGAGTTGTTTAACAGACGACATGCCACTGTTCGTAATGTTATTGAACGCAGCTTTGGTTTGCTAAAAGGGAAGTTTCCAATGATAGAGGGGTTGATGCCAAACTACAAAGTTCACTCCCAAACCGACATAGTAATAGCATGTTGTGTCGTGCACAATTTTATTCAGATGCATGAACCGCTCGAAAACATGCCACCTGAATTCATCAACCCAGAATACGTATGACGACATGATCCAACTGATCGGACTTTCCCTTTTATGTCGAGTAATAACTCCAACGTCGGCGCTGGTGAGCATTGTGTGTTGCGTGACACGATAGCCCAAGCGCTATGGGCGAACCGAATATAAAAGAACCGTATGTATTGATGAAACCTGTTGGGTGTGTCTTGTATTAA